TGCTAAGTATCTATCATTTTGACGATAGTGGTCCTGGCAGAAATTTTGTTATTTATTTTATATAAAAAAATATTATTTAATAGTGACAATATTCAATATTGTTAATATATTTTACATATCTATATGTATGAAATATATTTTATATTTAATACATTTTACTATTTTATATCAAATATTTTATTCTATTTTTCAACCTGTTGACAGTATTCAATGTCAGTATTTGTTTTATGACAACTACTGTATGAAAATACATTTTACACAAACACACACACATATACTGAGATATATACATATATATATATACACATACACGCACACATTTTTTTTAAAATATTGCCCAGGCCTAGATGCCAAAATAAATAAATAAAAACAACAACAAAAACTGTGTATATACTTAAATTTTCTTCCATGCTCACCTGGCAGTGTGTTGTAGTCATCAATGAGGAACATATGTTCACTGTCAGGGTCAGATGCGATGAGGTTGAGCTCCCTCAGGAACTCGGCCTGCGTTGGGTCAGAGGTGTTCACGATTCCCAGGGCATACATCTCAATATTGGCCACTTGAGCCTCACGTACTGCCATATCCAGCTTAACGGGTTCTCTTTTATCCGTCTGTCCATCTGTAATAACGATGGCAACTTTTCTGACCCCGTTCCTGGCACTGTAAAAGGCCTCTTGTGTGGCTTTGCGGATGGCGGTGCCAGTATAGGTGCCCTCTCCCATGTAAGGCATGTTCCTGATCGCCTTCTTGGCATCCTGCTTGGTCATATACCTGGCCAGGTTGAACTCCAGATGGATGTCCAAACTGTAAAGAACCAGACCAATTCTCGTGGCATTACGGCCCACTGTGACGCGGTCCACTAAAGCTGTGACAAAGTCCTTGATGATCTCAAAGTTTTCCGGGCCCACGCTTTCAGAGCTGTCGATCACAAACACCAGCTCCATGGGCCTTTCCTTGCACTTAATACCACATCCTAGAAATATATGACGCACCTGTTATTTCATGATCAAGTCATTTGATTTGTCATATTTACAGAATAAAACTCACCACAAATCTCCTTAATCAGCTTGATTATGTCTTCTCTCTGAAACAATAAAAAATGACTGAATTTGCTAATATTTACAATGCATACGGTTGCATAGTTTTCCTAAAATGAACACATTAATCAGCTTGATTGTCTTCTCTCTGAAAAATAATTAAACAATTACTGTATTTACAAATATTTATAATGCATATGATTGCATAGCTTTCCTAAAATTAACTCATTAATCAGCTTGATTGTCTTCTCTTCCAGAAAGCATTGAAAAGTGACTTGATTTACTAATATTTACAGTGTATATGGTTGCATAATTTTCCTAAAATTAAATTAATATTTACAATGCATACATTTGCATAGTATTCCAAAAATTTACTCCTTAATCAGCTTGATTGTCTTCTCTCTGAAAAATCATAAAAAATGACTTAATTTGCTAATATTCACAATGCATATGGTTGCATAATGTATACAGTTGCATAGGTTTCCTAAAATTAACTCCTTAATCAGCCTGATTATGTCTTCTCGCTGAAAAATAATTAAACAATGATTGAATTTGCTAATATTTACAATGCAATGTTTTCCTAAAATGAACACATTAATCTGCTTGATCATGCCTTCTGTCTAAAAAAAAA